GGCTGAGACTTACGGTGAGGTGGGTGGGCAGAACGGGGTCTGGGGTCTGAGCCCAGAAGATGCGGCCTGTGGGGGATAGGGCGGGGCTTTTTCTATCAGGGGGCGGGGCCTGGTGTTATGGGGGCAGGGCCTAAGCGGAAGTTGGGAGGGGTTTAGTGGATCTGGGGCTGAGCTTCATCGATTTGGGTGGAGCCTGAGTGGTGTGTGGGTGAGAGCTCTGGGGCGGGGTCTGGGGTAGCGGGTCAGGGTGGGCTTTGGGGGAAGAGGTGGGCCTTAAAGTATCGGGGCGGAGCCCCGGTGAGAGGGGCGGAGATGAGAGAATTGCGGGGTAGGACTTTATGGGCTAAGGGAGACTCGAAGGAATGCTCTGGCTCCTGGGTCTGATCTGGTTTGAGAGGTCTGTAATAGGGTTGGAGATGGATCGTCCTTGAGTTAAGGGTGGAACTTAGTGACGAGGGTGGGGCCCTGGACATGGGGAAAAAGAGCTTCGGAATTGCAAAATGAGTGTGTATGGACTGGGTTAGAAATCAGAAAAGCAGAGGGGACAAGTGCAAAGACCCTGAGGTGGGAACTGGCTTGTCATTTTCGGAAAATAGACTGAATGCCAGGGGCTCTAGTGTGAACGAGTGAGAGTACAGTAAGAGATGAGGTCAGGAGGGCCAGGGGTTAGATTGTAGTCCTTGATTAAATGGCTTTCCAGAGGCTTTAGCAGTGATCTTGGACTCTGGAGCCCTTTTTTTTTTTTTTTTGGAGAGATTTTCACTGTAGGGCGCGTGCGCTCGCCAGACAGAGAAAGACATAGAGACAGAAAGCGAGAAATCACCCCCCAGGGGAGATGGTCACGCTGCAATCCCTTCTCCTCCATTCTCCTCTCGGGATCTTGGGCACGCACGCACACGCGCCCGACGTGAGTTTTAAGCCACCAGGTCCGGGACACGAACCGCGGTCGACTACGTGGGAGTCCAGCGACATCGCCATTACGCTAACTGCTGGTTCCCCAACTTGGTTTTATTTTTTTTCTTGGACTCTGGAGCCTTTTGACCCTGGTTTGAATCCCAACTCTGCTTGGTTGTATGACCAAATCAGTTACTCCCTCTGGCCTCAATTTCCTCATCTGGTAAATGGGGGTAGTTAATAGAATTTTCCTGAGGATTAAGTGAACTGTTGATGTAAGGAAAGGCCATTAGAACTGTGCCCGACACATGGAAGCACCATATGAGTTGTCCGTCACTGTTGTCTTCGCTATTCCTTCCTGCCTGTGTACGTTTCAGTCTCCCTGACTGTCATGCTGTCTTGGTTATCATCTTTTCTCGTGTCTTTCTCTCCTTGGGGGCATCTCTGATAATGGCTCCATCTACGCAGACTTCCTGTTCAAATTCCTGGTGATCGGCAGTGCGGGAACTGGCAAATCATGCCTTCTTCATCAGTTCATTGAGAATAAGTGTGAGTTCCTGGCAGTGGTTCAGGGAACCTTGGGTTGTGGGTGCAGGCATGGTGGGGACAGGTAGACGGCTTCTGGGGGGCAGGGCAGTGCCAGTGCTGGGTACTTGACCCTCACCTTGGGGTATATGGTCTTTGCTAGGTTCTCCTTCATTGTAGTCATTCCAACAGTAGCAATGGGTTTGTAGTGACTAAGAAGGCCTTAGAGGATGGGGGATCCTCTGAGCTCTGCACTGCCTCTTTCTCCCTCCTATTCCTAGTCAAACAGGATTCCAACCACACAATTGGCGTGGAGTTTGGATCCCGGGTGGTCAACGTAGGTGGAAAGACTGTGAAGCTACAGATTTGGGACACAGCCGGCCAGGAGCGTTTTCGGTAGGTGGGCTGGGTTCCCGGGGAGGGAACAGAAAGAGAGAGGGGTGTGTGTGTAGTCACAGAGATACAGTAGGAGTGACAGGGCACTGAGAGCAGGCAGAACACAGGGAGAGAGCTAGGAGGAGACATAATAGAGCTAAGGAGAGAGGACAGAGAGTCCTGGAGCAAGGACAACAGACAAAAGAAAAAGAGGTAGAGAAAGGGAGGCTTGGCAGTGGGGTAAGAGGTAGAGATGAAGAGAGACACTAAAATAGGAAGAGAAAGGGAACTTGCAGGGAGAAACATACTTAGAAAAGGCAAGAGTGGGACTGACAGATGGCATTGCAGTTTCATTGCTAGATTCCCACGTGGCCAACCATGGTTCAAGTCCCAGACGCGGTGCTTGATAATCAAACCGGTTACTTGTACTTGTGTGCCCAAGATCCCAAGAAGAAAATAGAGGAGAAGGAATTGTGGCATGGCCATCCCTCTGTGGGATGATTTCTCATTTTCCGTCTCACTGTGTCTATCTATTTCTCTCTCACTATTGAGTGCACATGCTCTAAGGCAAAATCTAAAACGGGGGAGGGGCAAGAAAAAGTGAGACAGATTGAGAGATGAAGAGAATGGAAAGGGAGGCAAGGAGATGCAAAGAGAAGCAGGTCAGAGGCAGAGAGAGACAGTCAGACGGGTGCAGCCAGAGAGATGGATAAATGGACTTGTTGAAGAGAAAGAGATGTGTAGGGTTCAGCACACAGTAGGACCTCAGGAAATGTCTGCAGAAAAGTCGGTAGACACATAGAGACAGAGAGTCTGAGAAACAGCAGGGAGAGGGAAACAGGGAATTCAACTGTGGGAGAGTGTGGTCTCCAGGCAGTACTCAGTAACTTAGTTAATACTTGTGTGTAGATACACTGTGAGCTACATAGAGCCCAGAGACAGACAGGGGGGAGGAGAGATGCATGATAACATGGGCTGGGTTTGCAGTAAGTGCTCAGTAAATACTTATGGGCTGATTGTAGGAGTTTCTGAGGGACCTAGACCAGTGAAACAGGGAACTGCAGAGGACTGGCCACACTGGGAAGGGAGCCTCCATTGGATACAGCAGGAGATGGACAAGCAGATGATGCTTAGCACTTGGCCAGGGATGGCCAAAGGACAGATGTTGAGAAAATGTTGAAGGAGTGAGTGAATGAAAAGACAAAGGTGAGGATGGAGGAGGCAGAGACTGGAAAAGAGCTAGAGAGAAACAGGGAATTAAAGACACAAGCAGAAACAGAGCAGACTGATGGTGGAAGGACATGAAGGACAGTGACACAGGGACAAAGACAGGGAGACACTCACAGACAGAGGCAGTTAGCCAGCCAAGTGAGAGAGAAAGTGAGAGTGCGAGAGGAACTGGGAAGCCGAGAGGGAAATTGTATCATCTTCAGACCAGGACCAGGTTTTGGGGGATGGGCTGGCAGTGAAGGCAGAGGACTCAGAATCAGAATCTCAGAATCTCTCTGCAGAGGGGGACAGTATTGAGGCAGACCCTGGCCTTGGGAGTGACTGGGTCCCCCTGGCCCCACAGGTCGGTGACACGGAGTTACTACCGAGGGGCAGCTGGAGCCCTGCTGGTGTACGACATCACCAGGTGGGTGCACGGAGCGGGCGGGGTGGCGCATGGGTGGTCCCTGTCCGGTGCACTTCCTTCTTCCCTCTTTTTTCCACAGCCGGGAGACGTACAACTCACTGGCTGCCTGGCTGACCGACGCCCGCACGCTGGCCAGCCCTAACATTGTGGTCATCCTCTGTGGCAACAAGAAGGACCTGGACCCTGAGCGAGAGGTCACTTTCCTGGAGGCCTCTCGCTTTGCCCAGGAGAATGGTGAGGGCCATGCTGATGGCCAGATTGGGGGCT